AATAATAATAATAAATCCTAACAAGCTGTCTATAGAAATTGATAGACTAATTTGAAAATTAGTATGGAAATTTAAAAAACAAAATAGCCACATATTTGAAACAAACCAAGATGATATTGGTTTAAAGATAAAAACTGATCAGTGGGACCAAGAGTACAGAAACAAACCCACGTGTATTTGGTCAATTGATTTTCAACAAAATGCAAAGACAATTCAGTGAAGAAAGGAAATTCTTTTCAACAGATGGTGCTGGAACAAATGCTATTCATATGCAAACAAATTTTAACCCATATCTCACACCACATACAAAAATTAGCTCAAATATAAAATCTAGAATTATAAAATTTCCAGAAGAAAGCACAGGAAAAATCTTTTTAATCCTGGTTTAGGCAAAGATATCTTAGATGTATACCCAAAGAAGAACCTACACACACAAAAATTGATAAATTGCATTTTATCAAGATCGAAAACTTCTGCTCTTCAAAAGACGCTTTTAAGAGGATTAAGACAAGTCAGAGACTGGGGAAATTATTTGTAAATCATGTGTCTGATAAAGGGCTTGTCTCCAAAAAAACAAGGAAATTTCAAAATTCAATAATGAGTAAACAATCAAAAATTTTCAGTGGGAAATATGTTAGCAGACTCTTCACCAAAAAGATCAATGAATAGCAGATGAATACCTGAACAGATTTTAAAAATCATCAGTCATTATGGAAATGCAAGCAAAACCACAATGAGATACCAGTACACACCTATTAGAACGGCAGGAATTAAAGGACTAATCATATCATATGTTGGCAAGGATATGGAGGAACTTTAACTTTCACATATTACTGTTGGCAATATAAATGATCAACTACTTTGGAAAGCAACTTAGGAGTTTCTTAAATAGTTAAATAGCTACCATAGGATCCAGACTTTCCACTCCTAGGCATTTACTTAAGAGAAGGGAAAGCGTATGTCCATACAAACACTTATAGACATGTTCATAGCAGCTTTATCTGTAATAGTCAAAAACTGGAAACAGCCCAAATATCCATTAACAGATGAATGGATTAACAAATCTGGTATATCCATACAATGGAATACTACTCGGCAATGAAAAGATCTGAACTGATGATGAACACACCAGCATGAGTGAATCTCAAACTCATGTTGAGTGAAAGAAGGCAAACAAAAGAGAGTAGGTGCTGTATGATTTCATTTATATAAAATTCTAGAAAATGCAGACTAATCTATAGTGTCAGAAGATTTTAAGTGATTGTCTAGGGATGGTGGGTTCAGGTAGGTGGGCAGAAGGGAGAGATATAATGGGGAACAAGGAAACTTTTAGAGGCGATGAACACGTTCGCTATCTTGACTATATATTGGTTTCGTGTGTTTATTCATGTTTGATGCATCATTATAACAAAACTTGCCTCTTGACTCAGTTTACTAAAACCCCCCAAGCTGCCCATTCATAAGGGTGAAGAGAAAGAAAGATCCCTTGTTAGTATTCAGGTATTAAAAAGATTTTATTTATGCATTTCCTCTTAGTCTGTCTGTTGATAAGGCTTAGAACAGCTTATTCCTTCTTACAACTTTATATTAGATATGCAACATAATTCCAATACTCCAGGCATTTTAAAAAAGTATTCAAGCATAGCTTGTGTTCACTTCTCTCTAGATTCCATTCTTCCAAATAAGAGGTCTTTTGAAGAAGAGGTCTTTTGCTAATATCAAATTTGTTAACCAGACTTATTAAACATTGAACATACTTTAGCTGATGTAGCCAATGTATGAGCCACCTCATAAAATTTAGTAAATTGCTAAATGTTTATGTGAGCCATAACTTTGTAATTTTAATTTTTAAAATTATATACAAAGTGGTACTATATAATTCTATGACCAGAACATTACTATTATAAAATAATCAGCCTCAAAACAATGGATTTTAGGAAGCAGAGAAGAGACTCTGGTTTTTATCTTGAGGTATAGTGATGAAACTAGGCAGTATACATTCAAGTACTTGATTGATTCAATAGGCTTCCTTTAACTAGTACATCGGATGATTATTCTGGAATTTCTAAAGCATAGGTTGTCTGTTCTGCCTTCCCTCTTTACATACCCATTAAGACTCCAATTTTAATTTTTTAAAAAATTAATTTCTTTTCCCCTCATACTACCAGAATGTTAGGCAAATGTCATTTTGTTACCCAAAATGATTTTATAAGGGGCTAGGAGCATATGCTTATTTCTAAATTATAATTTAAAAATTATATTTCCAAATCAACAAAAATACATTAAGGCTTATTAGATATAGTCTATCATACTAAGTATTGTTAGGCAAACAAATATAAAAAGCAATCTTTGCCAACAAAAAATATGAAATGTAGCTAGAGGTAATCAAAAGTTTTAAATGAGAGAAATTAAAAACAGAATAAAAATTCAAATAACTATTCATTACAAATGGAAGAAGTACCTCTCAGAAGGCAGTACATGGTTAAG